GGGACCGCCGAGACTTCTAAGACGCGATACGCGTATTCGGGGATAAAAACACTCTCTCGCGCGCGCGCGCGCACACTCACACTCGCACACACACACGCGCGCGTGTACCACGGCAGAAGCGTGCACGTATGCGCGATCAATCGGCCAGTGCCGTCAACCTGACGGCGTCCGCACAATGCGAAGATGGCGTCGTATGCGGGAACGGAGGATCGCGCTCCCCTCCTCCCCCCCCCCTTCTGCCCGCTCCGCTGCTGCCCTTCGCGCGCGCCGGGGCGGCGCGTCGGGGATCACTTGGCGCGCCGAGCCTCCGCGGGAGCCACCTTTCTCACGCGGCGACCTTCCGCTCACGCTCGCCCGTCCGCACGTCCGCGAGGCACCGCGCGTCCGCGCGTCGTATCCGCGGATCTCTCCTCGGCTTCCGCGCGGCCGTAAAACACCGTACACACACCGTGACGCACACGCTCCGCAGCCGCGCCGAGTCTCGCGATACGCCGTGCGACGTGAAGGTTGCTGGCTGGCGCTGATCAACGACTGACGTCACGTCGAGACGTCAGGCGCGCTGATGCGTTCTCGGAAGCCGCGGAGCGACGGCTAGGTGGCGCCGCCTTTCGATACGCGCGTATCGACCGGGGGATCGCGCGGCGCGCGATCTCTATTCTCTCGCGCGGAAGCTCCGAAGCCTCCCGAAGTCTCGGAGCGGAATCGATGCTCCGACGCTCGCCCTCTTAATCTTTTTCTCTCCGTTTCTTTGTTACAGCTTTATCTTTGTTGATTCTTTCGCCGCGAGACGACAATCGTACATACACGAACGAGTACGATAGTCGAACGTAATCGCGATTACCTCGAGGTTCAAGGCTTCGACCGCACTTTGATCGATTATATTATCAAGGCGGGAGCACGCACTTTTGTTACAAGCGCATAAGCATATGCACGGGGCAATCTGATTGGGCCGCAAGTGCGCGCGTAAGGAAATAAGCCAATCAATTTCTTTTTGCATATGCTTGCCCTAGTAGCGCCCCAAGTAGAACAAGTTGATGACAGAAGCGTCGGTGCGGCATTAAAATGAATTTTACGTCATAAAATGATCGACATCAAGGTTCACTTCGCAATGACTGATTTGGGACCTGCTGTTTTATGATATTCGTGATGTGTATAATAATATATTATTACACGATCAGTCATATATTACTTCAATTTATTTTTTATGTACAATATTTAATTAACTTTGCCTTGTAAAACAAGATCGTTCTTACAACGTTTTGTCTCAACGATGTCACAAATAGGTGCGCTCTTGGTGGGCTTTTTTGACGTCGCCATGATGCATGAAAAATGATTTTAAAAAAATGATGTCATCCTGATGTTTTCATGACTAAGGCCCGGTTTCACCAACGCGAGTTAATCTAATCGGTCGGTTAACTTAACAGGGTGCCAACATAAAACTTCTTTATTAACCTATTTTCTTGGTTAATAAAGAAGTTTTATGTTGGCACCCTGTCAAGTTAACCGACCGATTAGATTAACTCGCGTTGGTGAAACCGGGCCTAATACGCTCTACTTGGGACAGTGTCGCTGATAGAATTTACGATTATGTATAATTTGTTATCTCCTATCTTTTTCTATATATTACACGATAAAGAGTTAACGCAGCTCCCAAGTAGAACATATTAGTCATGAAAGCATCAAGATGACGTCATTATTTTAATCATTTAATCATTGGCTGAGCATCGTTGGTTATATTAGAGATGCACTGGCAATATTGGCCGTGGAATGAAAGTGATTATCGCATGGTAATAATTATATAATATTAGATTTATGTTTGGAAGTGCATTGGCCAAGGCTTAACAATGCACTTGTGCAAGTTTATCTGGATAGATTAGCGTGACAGTGTCGCTGATAGAATTTACGATTATGTATAATTTGTTATCTCCTATCTTTTTCTATATATTACACGATAAAGAGTTAACGCAGCTCCCAAGTAGAACATATTAGTCATGAAAGCATCAAGATGACGTCATTATTTTAATCATTTTTTATGCATCATGGCGATGCCAAAATAGCCCACCGAGAGCACGTACTCGTGACATCGTTGAGACATCAAAATGTTGTAAAAATGATCTTGTTTTACAAAGCAAAGTTAATTAAATATACATTAAAAATAAATTGAAGTAATATAAGATAAACATAATTAATATATGACTGATGGTGTAATCTGTAATAATATATTATTATACACATCACGAATATCCAGTGCCGGTTTTAGCAACATTGGCGCCCTGAGCAAGATTATCGTGGCGCCCATTCAAATTCAAGGGCTCGAAATTCTTGCGAAAGAAAAGACAGGGTAACAATATCGAACGACGAACCCCATTTTGTTTTTATATTTTAGGGAATCTCTCTCACTCTCAAACTAGGTGAAACCAGGCAGCGGCGCCCCTACAGATTTGGCGCCCTGGGCGACCGCCCAACCGCGCCCCGCCCTAAGGCCGGTACTGCGAATATCGTAAAACAGCATGTCACAAATCAGTCATTGCGAAGTAAATCTTGACGTCGATCATTTTATGACGTAAAAGTCATCATTTTAATGTCACATTGACGTCTTTGTCATTAATTTGTTCTACTTGGGTGTGTGAATCCCCAATGTTTAGCCAATGTACTGTGACTCTCTCTCTCTCTCGCTCGCTCGCCCAGAAGGAGAGAAGCTCCAAGTTTCCAGAGCTTTCTGAATATTTCTCAAAAAGTCGCGATTTTCGGATCGAAGATGTAATTTAAAAACAAACTCAAAATGTAATTTAAACTCAATGTTACTGTCGCACCCCAACGGAAAAAAATTCTATAAATAAATACAAACAATTAACGTGAAATAGAAACTTGTAGAAATTCTTATATCTTCGTTGAAGCATTAATTCTTTTTGTAAAAATATCTACGAAATAGTGCCACAAATTACAATGTTCGCAAATCAAGAAATGATTGCGAGCAGTATCTCATGAAAATGTACAATTTTGTAAAAATTAGTACGAAACTTTGCTAGTTCTAGAAATTTGAGAAACAACAAAATCTTAAAGAATTAAAACATCGGCTTACTTGTAGAAAATTACAAAAATTAACAAGTGTTCCAACTCTCTAGCATTTTTTAAATTTACGTAGAATTTCTTAGATTCTGGCAGTTACATTTTATAGTTTTGTAGAATCGTTTCCCGCAGGGAAACACCGAACATGGGAATCACCGAATCAAAGTTTAGTCGAAGCCAGCTCTAACGAGCTGGATGTACTTTTTTTTATGGTATCTATTAGTCACGCTTTTCTCGCGAGACTTTCGTGTATCACCTTTGTTCGACTCGACGCCATGGCGGTCGTTTGCAGGCGCGTGGCGATCTCGCGATTGATCTCATCGGGGATTAGCGCGAAGAGAAATCGCGACAGATCCAGAGTTTACGCGGAACCGATGGCGATCGGTGACGCGCGCGCGCACAGGTTTCGAGAAATTGAGTGCCGTAATTGGCTTCCCCCCCCCTGCGCGATCGCAATTAATTGGAATGATCGGACACGCGGACTTTCCGGAAATCTGCCGATCCTGAATGAGTCTCGCCGATAAGGATCGATAACCTTACGTACCTTTTACACGTCCTCGGAAAGTACGCCGGCTTGGAATGCGGAAACGTTCAAGCGGGGCTGTAGGCTAACCAGTTTGACCGACAAGCGTGAACGGACGATCACTAATGATCGCCTCGCGAAAATGGAAAAGCTTGCCCCCGTCTCTCTGCTACGCGACCTCTTTACATGTATATTTTGAAATGTCTCCTCTATATTTATAAATAATATAGAGGAGTCCTCTATTACGAGATAACCCTGAGAAATGATTCGTCGATCGACGTCGAATCGACATCGACACCGGCGAATTGACGTCGATTCGACATCATTTCGACGTCGATCGACGAATCATTTCTCACTGGGAAGCTCCTAATACGAGGCAGCGGAGTTTCTGCTAAATTAACAGGCGTCGTCTGTTGGTTCCACCGTGAATTTATTGGAATGAAATCCGTTCGGTGGAAAATTGATTGTTAAGATCGTGTACTTGATCGTTGCGAAAAAGATTTGGACTGAATTTGGACGTTGAAAACCTACCATCTCATATTAGGATCCTGTCTTATAATGGATGACTTTCCTCTATATTTTTTATATATTAGTTTTTTAAATCTTGTATGGATATACGTAATCTTAAAAATAACGTTTAACGACAATCTGTAGCAAAGCGATATAACTTAAGTACGTAATTATCCTAGGATCTATAAATATTTAATCTTGCAAAATAAAGTATTCAATGTAAACTTTCTCTCCCGTTTCTCTCTGGACGATTGATAGAAAATATATCCCTCGTGTATAATTAAACCGCACTGCGAAATGTGCCATGAGTTGCATCTTTTTCGCAACCAATAAATAATATGAGAACGAAAGATTTAAAAGCGCGCTACAGTATGGAACAATCTCGGTTCCTTGTCGACGATAACGCGAATAAAAAAGAAGAAGATTAAAACAAAGATAAAAATAAATAATCGAATTTTAAATAAATTGATGAATTAATCTTAACACGTTGAATCAAACTGTAAACTTACGTACGAGGAAAATACGGTTTTCTATTCCTGAAAGAATATAAATCTGTTCGCATCCGATGTGCGCACGTCACTGATTGTCATCAGTTAATTATCAGTATAGTTAACTACTTTTCTATATATCTTTATGTCGATAATAAATAATTGATTAACGATAACTTGATCCTACGCAGAACTGCGTACTTGACAATGCCTCACAAAAATGTTCTAGTAGTTTATACATACCAGCTGTATTGTACATATTGATGCATCCGTTGTCCCCCGTTGTAAACTTAGGCCCGGTTTCACCAAACGTCGCCTCACTTTAATCTTGGTTCAATTCATATTCGTCTCCTTCCGAAGTAACAGTCGACACAAGACCATCGCCGCGAGATTAGTAACGTCTCTTCGATGTTTCTTCAATGCAGTATGTATTATCTCAGTATATCTCAACAACAATATATATCGGTAGTATATTATATCCTTAGCAACAATATCGGTTTCTTCTTCTTTTACCTCGGATTATTCAACGACGATTATTTAAGACATAACGGGCATGTACAGAGTTCGGTTCATATCTGAAGTACAATAAATATACGAAGCTTGTACAAAATAACCGTTTGATATTCAGTAAAACTGGGTGTATATCAATCGAAATACTTTTCCGTGCGTGCGTGAGTAAAAATGTAATGATCGGTGCTGGTCTTTACTACTCGGGATGTAACGTACGCGGAAACGACGCAACGTTCCGGTATTTCTGTTTTTCCACTAGACTCTAAATCATCCGCCACAATTGCCTCGGGACATTGTCGCGTTAAAAAGAAAAACAACAATTGCGATGTAACTGGAGCTTTGGCAAGAGAAAAGGCAGAACGAGTAGTAAAGACTCGGTATTCTCGACGTGTGGCTCTCGACGAGACAACGACTGACGCATTATTGCTTCTTACGGTAGCCTTATAAATTACCAACATTATCCTTTAGTCTTCGAAAAAACAACTATGTACATTTACACTAAACTTACGCCAATATCCTATACAATATACAAATATATATATATATAATTATAAAAAATAAACGCGATGATTATAAAATGGATACTGTGTGATCCGATTAAATGCGTTTGCTGCCGCTTGTCGCTTACACGAATTGTTTCGTCAAGCATTACACATGTAATAAGTGTAAAACATTTATACATATATATGTATATGTATTACAATGTGTATATACACATATATATGTATGTATGTTACAATCCTTCTTTCTTACACATCAATCCTGAGATCTAAAAATACAATCTAGCTCATCTTCTCTCTTATCATTTGTCTCATTAATACATCGTGCCGAACAACATCTGCCATCTCTCACTATTTTACAAGTAAAAAAATATATATGCGAGTACATTACTCTTTCGAACATGTAACTTTTATAAATATCGAAAAAAGACAGGAAGAGTGAAGAAAAACTTGTGCCGAATTCGTCTTAATTTCCGTACGCATCATCACACGGTAGAAACAACGTGGATTAATCGCGGGCGCGAGAATAACCGCCGCGCGAAAAAGAGACTGATTAATTATTACAATAATAAATTCTATCATATCGATCTTCCACCGCTCAATCTCCGAATAAAATGGCTGATAAGTACGTTCGCTTCTTTGGTTGCAAGAGTCCTTAATTTTATACATAATTACTGACATACATATACAATTCATATAACTGGTAATAAATACTTAGGAAAAAAGGGGAGACAAGACATCGACAGAACGTTGAAATTTTTATCATAGTCCGAAAACGAGTAGAGTCGCCGCGCTGCGAGAACAATTGAACAATTACTACCTTCCTCTCGCTGCGAGATCTCTTTTACGTGCTTTTTATCAAAAGGCGTAACACTTTATCGTCAAGGCCACAATTATGTCACTATCTAAAAACAGATTCACAAAGTGGTGTCTATATAATACATGATAGGAGAGCCTAAATTTTTTAAGTCTACACTTTGAAACGTTATTGAGAAGAGCAGACGAACAATAAATTTACATTATTATAATCACCAGTCTACAGTATCACCTTACAGCGTATGGTGGCATACAGCTGTCTGTGTCATCTCTAACATGATATAAGATATCGAATTCTGAGATTCTTTATGTGTATCGATGCCGCTTGCGTCAGCATAGAGATAGTGTCCGTAACGTTAACGCTTCTGACGCATTTTATATCGCGCTATTTCCTACATACGTACTTCCACATGTGCTGAGTCCTTTGTGATTTACACTATTCGCATTTGTACAAATCGAACAGTTCGCTTCCCTTAAAAAGAGGAAGAGGAAAAAAAGAAAAGAACCGAGAAGTCTGTGCTTAAAACGCATCTCATAAATGCATAAGTGAAAAGTCGCTCTGTCTCTCCGTAAAAGAATAAATTCTCTCGATCCTAGGAAATATTTTAGCTTATCTCGTGTCGTCCGAGATGCGTGAGAAGGCGTCACGCCGAAAGCGCTCGCTACAAATAACTGTTTTTGGATGAGCAGCAGTTCAATGAAATGGAAAATCGAACTTTTTGACGCTTTTTGCGGGGCACACCCCTCTCGGGTAATTTCGATAAATGCCTGCACGGGGTGCCCTCGTGGTTCGGTCGAATACTTATTTGGTCGATTGTGAGATTACTCTACAATGAATTTCAATCAAGGTTTACAATCACTTTCGAAGGCTGCGGTATTTGCTTAATAATCTCATTAGAATACGGAACACGCGCAACAAGGCACATATACTTTCAAAAGCTATCACACGTGTTAGGATGAATTACGTTTACTCTGCGATTAGATCAATTAAGAGAAACTAGGTTAGCACCAGCCTAATTTTGTTAAGATGAGCAAGTACAATTGTCCTTATATTAAAAACCTTCGCAAGCCGCGCAATGATAGCTGCAAGAAAAAAAGTCATCTGTGTGTTCCCCTCTCGAAACGTCCGCGCGTTCTCCGTTTAGAGAATACTTTTAATACGCCTGCACAAGTATATGGATCGAAACTTTTTGTCGTCACTGTGCATCGTTCGCAAATTGACCACGATTGGTGTTATTGAATTTAGCGCTACTTTGAAGGCAAGTTAATACAAATGCTTATCACAATGACAAATTTGCAGTGCGCGCAGTTTAAATCGTTCATACTGTGTAAACGTCATCGAAAGATTGTAAAGAGGAAGTGTCACGCGATGCAAGAATGAACTATATAACTTTTATATAAATAACGCATATCTTTCGTCCCTGTCGTTTTTTTTAAAACTGCCTAAGACTTTGCAAAGAATCGTGCGATACCACACATTTCCTTTTCCCATATCTATATCAAACGTATAACCGTTCTCATTGTAATAGCGAATTACGCAGTCGTCTAGTTGAGATTCTTTTTTTCTTGTATTGTCTTTTATCTTCTTCATTTAGCATAATGCCTAATGTTATGTACCCTGAAAAGCTTTGTTTTCCAGATCGTCAAAGAGATTCTATACAGTGCTAATGTTAGCATTAGTATCGTCAAAGATAGGAGAAAATGTCATGAAGTTAAGATTAATATGTTATTATCAAAAAGTTAATTGCCTATATGTTCATATCGTAGAGATGTGGAGGAGCACCTACCACTGAAGGCATCTGGCAGCCACGTCGTACTAACAGACGAACGGATGGTCCACCGTTACGTATAATCTCAATCGCTTCTGTATGCGTCATATTTTTCGTGTTAAAACCATTTATCTCGATTATCTGATCGCCAATCTAGAAATAACAGGAACATTCGCACATAACGTCGTGTTTTTATCATTCAAAACGCATTACATTTGTGCAACAATCCGATCTTGATTCATTTCCAGTAAACATAAAATTTAGTAGGCCAATTAAAACGGTCATGTACGATAAAATTTGTAATTTCATTTTGTCTTCTTGTCTCGATCTATGGTGCTCGGGGCTCGTACCGAGCTTGCAGTTTGTAATAAGCTAACCGATCAACGTTAATCAAAGGGAAAGAAGATAATAAAATATTACTCACTCTAAGCCGGTTGTCGATAGACGCCGGACCGTTCTCCGCAATTTGCAGGACGAATAACGGCATGTTTTGAAATTCACGGCCGCCGCGTATGCTGAAGCCAAAACCTCGGGTGCCCCGAGTTAACTCTACAGCGTGGTACTGGCCGCCATCTCCGTCTCCCGTGGGCTCGTCCTAAACAGAAGAATTCAACACTTTAATCGTTCCACGATTAGTACGGACAGAGGGCAAAGGGAGCAAGACTCTTCGCTTTAAATCTTCGCTGTAAAATCACAAAGTCCTTCGAAGCAAACTTATACCTTTTGAGAAAGAGATGTATTGCTGCAGCAATCGTCCACCGGATAACCGATCGTCAGTGTGACGGAATAGCCGGAATCTTTAATCAAATTGACGATATCCTTGTGGCAAACGTTCGTGATGTCTATATGATTGACAGCGAGAATATGGTCTCCGACGTTCAACCTCCTGCACCTTTCAGCGGGCGAGCCCTCGATTATTCTGCCGATCGTGGAGCCGGCTTTGTTGACCGACGAGATTATCACGAAACCGAATCCCTCGCTTTCCATTCGGGTGACAGTGACGTCGTACGGATATTGAAGATTCATCTGTCGGCCGTAGGGCGACTGAAGGTTCTCTTGAAGATGCTCCTGCGTGTTGATCCGACGTCGTATTCCCAGAGTCACTCGGCCGTTTTGCGCTGCCGCTATCATTAGTTGCACCACGTGATGGTGAGAAGAATTCATGACGCTCTCGCCGTCGACAGACATGATCAGGTCGCCGGTACTGAGTCTATTGTCAAGATCGGCCGCTCCGCCTGGAACGATGTGGCCGACCGAAACCTGCTAACCGTAATATTTTTAACATTTCCATTTTCATTAACTGCTGATGACGAACACTTGATTATGCAGCGCCGTTATTACGGAGATCGTCGGCACTAACCTGAGATCCTTCCTCCGTGCCGCCGACTATTCTAAATCCAAATCCAGTGTCTTGTCTGGCTAAGGTCACTAAAGTTTCTATCCATTCTATATCGGGCACCATCGGGCAGACCAATTCGTTGGTGTATTGAGGATATCTTGAATTAATATCACAGGTAAAAGATTACTGTGTACATAGTTAATGTTCGGTAATATTTAAACACACAGGTTTCATCCAATAGCTAAATTATTGACTCGGGAGGTTTGCAAGATGAGAACGATTTTAAATAAGTTCTTTAACCTTCGAACGATGTACGTACCGAGATATGGAACTGGAATGTGGCTGTTCGTGCTCGAAACTGGTAGTCTCTTTCCGCTTATCCCAGATCTCGCCGGTGTCAACGTTCTGCTCCTGCCCGATGGAATACATGTTGTAATCCTCATTGTACTGGGAATGCGACTGGACTGGATAGACGTCCTTGTAGTAGTCGGAGTGCAAGTACCCGTTCTGCTTGAGCATATTGTTGTGATGAGAGATGTCGATGGAATACACGTCGTTACTCATATTCAACTTGTCGTTCGCCACCCAGTCGCGCTTCGCGACGTTCCTGATGGCATCGTCGTCGAGGTTCATCACCGCGAAACTGTCCAGGTTGGCCGTGATGTTCGCCTTGTACGGATCCGAATAGTACATCCCGTGCGAGTAGTCCGAGTACTTGTAGTGGTTATCCAGCGGATTCAGCTCGTTCTCGCCCTGCACTTCGCTCCAGTTCGGCCTGCTCGCGCTGATCGGCGACTTGGGGCGATTCCTGGTGTCGATCAACGGTGTCTTCGGCCTGCTGGGTATCACCGTCTTCGACTGGGTGCTGTAGATGTCCGCGGTGGGCGTTTTGCTTCTGAAGAAGTCCTGCGCGCTCTTCTCCTTCTTCTCCTTCGACTTGGTCGTCGTTCGTTGAACGTGTATCAACGCCTCCTCGCTACGCGGGCAGTCCTTCAGTACTTGGACCACCTCCGAGTGGCACATGTTCCTCACGTTGATGTCGTTTATGTTGACCAGAATGTCGCCCTCCATTAAGTTTTTACAACGCTGACGGTCAAGGATCTTCTTCACCTTCTGGCCGTGGGCGGAGTCCGCTATCGTAAATCCAAATCCCATGGCGCCTTTCACGATGGCGATGCTGAGAAACTCCGGCTTGGAAGACACCGACGGGTCCTTGCAATCGTTCAGGTCGCTGCTCTCCGACAGCAGAATGTCCGTGCTGCTCGGTCTCTTTATTGTGTTGATCTTGTCCGAGATACAGAGATCGGGCATCGAATTGACGGACGTCGTGGCGAGATTCTCGCCGTTCTGGAGGCTGTGCACCGGCAGGAACGTCGAGTCGAGAAAGTTGAAACGCCCGTTGTCTTGGAGGGACGAATTCAAGTCCATGTACATCGCGGGATCTTCTGTCGAAAAGATTCGTGCGGGTCTACAATTCTAATCGCGCGTCGGATTACGCATCGACTGTCGTCAGCGGTTGCTTTACCTGGCGCGTTGACGGCGATCGTCGTCACAACTTCCGTATTGGGATCGTTGGGATCGAAGGGCAGCGGGTAACCCCGGCACACTTCCAAAGTTACCGTCTCGCCGCTCCCAATTGACTTGAACACATTCACCATCTCGTTGTGCGTGAATCCTAGCACGCAGGTGTCGTTAACGTACACCAGCACGTCCCCTGGAAAGAGATTACAATTGTGCGAAGAGACGCGGAAGGTGCAAGTGAGTCGCGCGCTTGAGAATTAGCGGTATCTGAAAATTACCGGTTTGCAGCTTCCCGTCCAGCCACGCCGGACCGTTCGGCACGACGCTCTTAATTTGGAGGAATTCTTCCACGGTGTCGTCACCGCCGACAATGGTGAATCCCAGGCCCCGCGAGCTCTTTATCAGGGTGGTCCGTATCCTCTGGCCCTTCAGCTTGTCGGGATTTCTGGTGAAGTTGGGACTCTTGCGCTCGAGCATGCCCTGCTGCGCCCTCTTCGCCTGCAGCACCGGGTTCTCGTACTGGGTCCTGCGATTCACGTGGTCGATGAAATACGTGCCGTACAGGGTGTCGTCGATCTTCTCCCAGCCGTAGGGCAGCTCGTCGTCGAGGCACTCCTCCAGCGATCTCTTTTGAAATTTCGACAGACGCGGGTCCAGCCAGTGAGACGTGCCGGTATTGTGGCTGCAACACCGATATCTGTTTTTACACGCCAGGCATTAAGATCGATTCGTCACAGCGCGACGCAGGATTATTCCGCGCGCCCCGTACAAATGCAATAATATCGCGATCAACGCGCCGCGGCTCGACCGGGCTCGACGCGGACTCTGGCTAGGAACGCGCGCCGCTTTAAATTCTCCCGTCGCGATGGAATATAAACGTGGGCGACGCGCACGCCGCGCACATACTCTATGAAATAGACTTCTCCCGTGTCCGTGTACGCCTTCTCCCAGTTGGGTGGTAGCGGGCCTAGTTGACCCTCCGTGGCCGGAGCGCGGTTCCGCGCGGTCTGCTCCTGGTCCAGGGTCCCCGTGCTCTGCTCCGATCCCGCGGTGTACAGATACGCCGGCGGGATCCTGCCATCGTTTCCGCCGATCGTCAGGATCTCCTTGTCCAGACTCTCCCCTGCAAGCATACGAGACGGATTGAACGTTTCGCGCCTTTACGTCGCGCCGGTGTGCGCCGCGAAAGCGACGAGCGGTTACCGTCGTTTGGATTGTCGATGGACGCCGTGTCGTCCGTTTTCGCAGCCATCTCAGGGTCCTTGCGCTCGTCTCAGTGTCCTGACAAGAAGAAACGCAACTGTCACGAAATGTCGAGTGCAGCACGAAGGACTGTAATTTGTAGATGCAACTTGGACAACGTGGCCTGCGATTGCAGCGTAAATTACAAATACAACTGCGAGCGTGGCTCAATACACATATAACGGAGATTCAAGGAGTAATTCCCTCGCGGAATTTTCCTGGGAGTCGAGACACAAAGAGACAGAAAGAGAGAGAGAGAGACTCGCGCGCGTTGGTATATCAAATCCATTGTTCAGCCTCGCAATTAAGGCAATTCGCCGGCGTCTCGAGATCGCTGTTTCGCGGGAGGAGAGGACGTTGATCGAACGAACACACGCGCACGCTCGCACGCGAACCGTCCGCCGGGCCGTCGCGTAATTAAGAAGAAGAGGCCCCCCCCCCGTCCCCAAGCGTCGCGTATCACGTTGCACGCGTCACTCGCCTGGCTCGCCGGCTTCGACGGCGATTTCGAAAAAGCGCGACGGTGAAGGTGGAAAGTGGAGCGTTCTTAATCCTACCCCCCCCCCCCCCCCACCGCTCGTATTTAATCTCCGCGAACCGTTAAAGCCTGTATTAGACCGCGGCGCGAGATCGCGATTAGATTGAAGCTTCATCGGTCGCCCCTTCGAGAGTCACTGAACCTGAGATCGGTAAACTCCACTCCGACCGGCCAAATTCCCAGGCTGATCTCAACCCGCGCGCCCCGAGAGACACCTCCTCGGCTTCACGCGGCGTGCGTGTAATCGTCACCGCCAAACGCGAACCTTCGACGAGGCGCGCGTCTCGTCGAGAGCCACGTTGAGAACGAGATCGACGTGCGGTCCCCAGGTTCCGGAGCGGAAGGGAGGCAAAGAGGAGAAAAGAAAAGGAGAGAGAGAGAGAGAGAGAGAGAGAGAGAGAGAGAGAGAGAGAGAGAGAGAGAGAGAGAGAGAGAGAGAGAGGAGAGAGAGAGAGAGAGAGAGAGAGA